AGAGGATTTATTTCGAGTTGTCAGATTTCAGATGTTGTTTCCTCATGGAATCATATACAGGGCATTCTGCATTTACATTGTTTACACTTTGGGGCAGTTTCTCCTTTGAGTAAAAAGCTGTCTGTCAGTCTAGTGCAGGGGTCACCAACCTTTTTGAAACCCGAGAGCTACTTCCTGGGTACTGATTAATGCAAAGGCCTACCACTTTGATAATAATGAAGGATATTCATCTTTGCAAAGACACTGATCATGTTAATTATTTCTCACAATGAATATCCACAATAAATTAACAAGGTAGTAAACAGATAAATATTTTTATGCAACACTTTATAATTATATTTTGTGGAACTGTTTTTTTATATTGGAAAAAAATACATATATATGTACTTCAAAACACTTCAAAATTATCACTTGTACAACAGTCCAAGGAAATCACAACGTCCAATGTACAAATAATAAATCATATAAATATAAAAAGTGAGCTAAGATTATTATTATTATTTTTTGACATTGTTAACATTTTAATTAAATCACATTTTACAAACGCATTGAACTAAACATGAACTGGACACTAAATCTGGTATCTGATTCTTTCAGTTACTGGGAGCCTGGCATTGCGTTACGTTTACCAGTATGTTGCACTCTGAGTGAGTCTTGCAGATGTGCATCTCACGCATCTCCACAACTCGCAGCTTTTTCGGCATTCAGTACACTGTGGATAGTTGGTAGCTTGTGTCCACGTTGTGAAATGTCTCGTGAAGTGAAGTGCCACAGTCGTTGCGCATATGAGACAAACACAAGCTTCTTCCACAGAGGTAAAAAAAACCTTTACCTTGCATTCGTCGGGAAAAATAATCTTTTTATGGGTCAGTCGTCTCATTTTTGCTGCTTGTTTGTTTTGTCGTATTGCGTTATACTGACCTTTGAACTCTACCAGGTCGAAGTTCATATATATATATATATATATATATATATATATATATATATATATATATATATATATAATTTTTTTAAAATTATATATTGTCACATCAAGCTTACGTGCCATTGCCATTTAAACAGGAATAGCAGTCAAATTAAATTAGTTTCACAAAAATTGCTATTTGAGATATTTTTAGAAAAGGTGGTGGACGACTCATGTGGTCCCGCGGGCACCGTGTTGGAAACCCCTGGTCTAGTGTGACCTATTCGGCTTCTAGTAAAGATGACTCAGGTTTATGATATTGTGCTCCAACTTTAGGTTGAATTTCATATAACTTATTTCTCTGTTGTTTCTCCCAGTCTGATCTGAGTAAGGGAAGTTATTTTTGGCTTCAGGTCCGATGGTGGAATTGATCGTTGGGATATCTCTGTGATCTTTGAGTTTGCCCTTCCGTTGCCTTCTAGCCTAATATGGCCAGGAACCCAGCAGAAGATGACGTGGAAGTTATTCAGATAAAGTTGGTTTACTTTTATCAGAATAGAAGTGATAGCCGGGTGATTTGAATGTCATTGATTGAAGACAGGCCTTTGAATTAGCTAAGATAATGTAGTTCCTTCGAGTAGATCTTTCGATCCTTTCTACTGCCAGTAGCCAGGCGTACGCTTCTGCCGAAAAGCTGGAACTATATATAACTTTTTGATCATTTCCAAAGATTTCAGCTGCAGTAACATGAGTCTCTGATTTTGATCCTTCTGTGAATATTGGAAAATGGTTTGGGTAGAAAGTTCTGATGTGGCAGTATAACTGTATATAGAAGATTGGATGTGTATCATTCTTTCTGTAATTTGCTAATTCCATGTTGATTGAAATTTCTTCAAGAGTCCAGGGTGGGGCTTTCAGAAATCTTGTCTTCTCTAGTATCTGGTTTTGAGTCAGAAACAGATTAGATGGGAATTCAAAATGGTTTTATAGATATCTTTTTAACAGATGTTTGTTGTTGTTACGACTCATTTTAAAGGGGAGGAGAGTGTAGGTGAGAGTTTAAAAAACAACATAGAGTTCCAACACCCGTCAACAAAACACCAAACCCAATCGATTCAGTAAAAAAGTTACAATTTTATTATTAGAGAACAGACAAACATTTAACTTAGAGAGAAAGTGGCTTAGGTGGAGAAAGGCCAAAATAACAAACAAAACCCACTACAAAAATAAACCAACCCCCTAAATTCCCTAAAGGACAATTAATATAAAACACAACTCAACTTCCCTAACTTCCTAACAAAAAAATACAATCATTCAAAAATAAACTTAGGTCTACCCCACCACATTAGCCAAACAATAACTCATACGAAATTAAAGAAAGACTATTACGAAAACTCATATCTTACGCAAAGAAATTACCAGAACATTAACGAATGTGTGTTGCTGACGGAGCTGGAACCCGGAGCTCTGCACCGACCGCGGTGTCAACCAGACTGAGCTCTCTGATCGAAGAAACTCCGCCTCTTTTGAATCCGTGGCACTCGGTCCTGCACCAATCAGCAGTGATGCACTTAAATAGGGAGGGAAGTTCCAGGTGTCCGCAATCGCACACCTACTGAAGGTAACATAACCAAATATACTCAAAACAAGTTAAATCAAAATTAAAGTGACCCAAGGCACATAACAGTGGTAAAACTTAAAACTGTTCTTCACTGTGTTTTATCAGTTGTAGACTGTGGGACTATGGTGACTGTTGACGTTCTGAACTGGTTCCTAATGGTTACACTGTGGACCGAATGGAGCTGGATAGCTGTTGTCTCTTTCTCGACAAGATGCTTGACTACCTTCTTGTAGCACATTACTGGCTTTGGTAGATCTAAAGTCTTGTCTATGACTGAAAGAAGAAATTGTAGATTGCATTATATTTTTTTTTCAATGATATTAGTAGGATTTATCTTGCAATACTTTGAGGCGCTTTAAGTCATAAGGGGACGATTCCATTAAAGTAAAGCAATTCTGCCCCGTCCCGACTGTTTGCTTATATGTCTGTGAATAAGCTGCAGCCGATGGCTCATTTAAAGTCTGCTCTGACATGATGATTATCTCGTCCCACATGACATTTTATGATGAAATTACAGAGGATAGCCTTTAGACAGGACCCTCTTTGATGCATGTCCAGGTATCCAATCATCAAACCTTTTATTATGTTTTTCCATATTTATATGCGTACTAATCTGCTTCATTTGAGCTCATTTTTATGTGCATTTTATCATTTAATATGCATCTTAATCTTTTTCCTCCAGCTGTTGTTCTTGCGCCTATTCCAAAATGTGCGGGAAAATGTTTTAACCGCTTATGTTTATGCCCGACAACCACCGAGTTGCAATGATCAGAATGCTGAACAGCTTGTTGGTTTGTTTTTACTGTTCTCCTCAGCAGTCTTCCACGGAAACATGCATTTTATTATTACAAGTCTCCAGAGACATAAACCTACAACACCTCTGAAGCAGACTGACTGATGGTGAACTTGAGAAGTCTGTCCCCAAGTACATTACTGACTTTGATCAGGCATACGGCGAGCTGTAAGTGATGTTTGTACAAGCGGCGGAGCTCATATCTGACTTTGATATTGTGTACCTGTCAGCGGTAATTAATGACATGCACTCATAGCTCTTGATTAATCTCAACTGGTTCAAATGAACATGTTATGGGTCCTGCTTAGCCAGTTTACTTTGGCTTGTTGCTCTCATTTTACACAATTAATTACCACAACTGCTCCCTTATTGCCTCTTAAGGGCCCAGCGTAGAAAATGAGTCACTCACTGGGCCTTCGTTGTGATTATTTATACCACAGGCATGGAAAAGACTAAAGGCTTTCAAGGATTTAAACCATGCCACCCATTCAGTCAGAGGTCATAATTACAAAATAATGTGTATGGAGCATTAGCGGTAAAGATGCCATGTCTACTATGGTATAAGCAACAACAGTCAAGCTTATAATAAATGTTCTCTGTGGCATATGTGGCAATATTTGTTATCAGTTTGAGTAGTCCTTATGAAAAAACTGCTAAAAATATTGATCCACCTTGTTTTTGATGTTCTAAGATACGATTGGATTTGTATTTTATTTTCCTCGTTTCATCTCATCACTCATTTTTTGGGGAAAAAAACTTTTTCTTCCATTTATAGGGGGAATTTCTACCATAAATCTCATCCAAGGAGTGTACCCTTACTTTCCACCATATAAAACCCTGCTGTTTTGACCTCCTAATGAACTCAAAACGCATTGTTCTGAATTTGGCACCCTCTTCATTGAAATAAGTTCAGGGATCTAGCTGTGGGTTGTTTACAGCTGGGTTGCCATGTGCTTTTGATTCCACCGGCTCATCACAGTTGTTTGGTGGTCGCTGGGTTTTGGTGATGAGAGGAAGATGTTTTCTCTACTGTAGACGAGAGGAGGGGATGGAAAGCTGCATCTTTTGATCATTTCTCAGAGGAAATCTTTGATACTGGGTGTCCTTGCATTCTCACTTTCTCATTGCCTCCTATCACACTGTGTTCACAGGAAAACAAAGTAATGCATATAAATACAGATAAGTAAACGAGAAGGATCTGAATCTTGTGTGATTGTAAATCGGATGTAAATAACATCTGTTTTTATATTCTATGATCAAAGTAATGTAAAAGATTGATGTAAATTAAATGCTCTATTCAGGGAAGTCAAGGTGTGATGTGGTGTTTCCTCCTCTGAAAGGGTGCTGTAAATGTGTTTTATTTTACTATTATTATTATTTATTTTTTCTTTTATTTATTTTGTTTTCATATATAGTTTTTTTTGTCCCCCATGGACCAGTTCACCTTAATTACAGCAGGGCAGGGGGTTGTGTTAACAGAGAGGGGGAAGAGAAGAAGGGAAGTAGATGGGAAGGAAAGAGTCGGGGAGTGAGAAGAATACCAACTAAACATATTACAGCAGTGAGTTTCATAAAAAATGAAAATAAATAACAATAAAACATTTTAAATATTTTTCATTTGGCAGACTCCTTTATCCAAAGCAACTTACATTTGAATGAACACATTTTTTTTTATCAGCTCTTGCTTTCCCTGGGATTTGAACCAACAACCTTTGCCTTGTTAGCACAATGCTCTTCCAACTGAGCCACAGGAAAGCCACAATAAAGAATATATACTCAATCACAGTCTGCAGTAACAGAACAATTGTAAATGTAAAGATTTTAAGTATTTGTAGAATTCTAAATCAGTATAATTTTACCTTTAGAACAGCAATCGAGGGCTGTATTCAAACGTATGGCCCTGTTTTTTTTATGTAGTTACACTGTAGTTTCACCTTAAGTACAACACATAAATGCTGCATTCTAACGTGGAGATTCCTACCATTTCCCATCTAACAGTAGTTGCACTTTAGTTTACCTTAAGTACAACACATAAAGCCTGCATTCTAAAGTGGAGTTTCTCACCATTTTCCTACTACCTGTAGTTGCACTGTAGTTTACCTTAAGTACAAAACATAAATGCTGCATTCTAAAGTGGAGTTTCTCACCATTTTCCTACTACCTGCAGGTGCACTGTAGTTTCACCTTAAGTACAACACATAAAGGCTGCATTCTAAAGTGGAAATTCTTGCCATTTTCCTACTACCTGTAGGTGCACTGTATTTTTACAATAAGTACAATGCATAAAGGCTGCATTCTAAAGTGGAAATTCTTGCCATTTTGCTTCTGCCTGTAGTTGCACTGTAGTTTCACATGAAGTACACCAGATGAAGGCTGTGTTCTTAAGTGGAGCTTCGTACCATTTTCCTACTACCTGTAGTTGCACTGTAGTTTCACTTTGAGAACCACACATGAAGGCTGCATTCAACTGTGAAGCTTCTCACTCTTTTCTAACCTATAGTAACAATGTAGTTTCACCTTAAGTATAACACTTAAAGGCTGGATTCTAAAATGGAACTTCTTACCCTTTCATACAACCTGTAGTTGTTTAGCAAATGGGTTGCTTCCACACCACCATGACTGTTTTATACTAAATTTAATGATAAATTAAATTACTATTAACTACAGAATAACATCTGTACATTGTATTCTTATTTAGTACCCCTTCACTACAAGTAAGCACTCTAGCATTTGTTTTCTTTTAATAATTTTTATACTTTTTAACGTTTGATAGTTGTAATAACAAATATATAATCTAGAGGTAATATGGATGTTCTCTGTGATTGCTAAAAACACCAAGTAATTATGCAAACCTTTAACTTTTTCAGCTGTAATGAAAAGTGTTCCTAAAACAAAATAGTGCTAGAAGCACAACAAATTGAACACGTTTTAATAGAACATGGGAATTTCAAAGACATCTTGTGGTTAATAAATTCACTTTAGATGTAAACTTTACTCAGCTCTTTCATTTTCAAGCCCACACTTTAAAAACATAAAAATTAGCCAATGAACTTACACAAAAAAGCAGCTTATACCAGTAATATGGACCAGAAAAACAATATTTTACAGTATTTTTACGGAATTATAAAACACATCTTGTAAAAATGCATTCCTACTGTATTTCTACTGTAATCATTTTAAATTACAGTATTTACCTGCCAACAAAAGTTCTCAATAAAGTCCTGTAAAATAGAAAAAAATCCTGCTTTGTTGTGTTTTTTACAGGATTGTAAAATGATACTTGTGAAAATGCTTTAGAGGTTTTTCTTGTAACTTTGCTAAATTACAGTATTTAAAAGTAAACAAACCATCAGAAGAGAGCAGATTGATATTCCCTTATTCTTAGGACTATTCCATAAACTAATGTAAAAATCTGAAGCTGCAGTATTCATAAAGTTCTTTGAATAACACAAAGAACTTTATGAATTTTTTGTTTGTTCAGGGTTTTTTTTTTTTGGTCTCTCAAAGTGAACAAAAAGATCCTGTTGTTGAATGTTTTTCTAGTGAACACTGACTGTTCAATGCTCAGCATCTCCAACATTTTCCTATTGAAATTCAGAGGATCGGGAGAAAAGCGAAATTTTGCTTCTCCTCTGCAGAACGCATTACTTATGGACCCATGCTGACTCTTAATTATTAATGTGAAATAAATAAATATTGGGTGATACACGTGTGTTTTGTGGAGGCGGTGCGGCCCTCGTACACTGTAGGTGGTCCAGTGGAGGGGTGCCTAGTATCCAGAATGATAATGAGGACATTGGCTCGCTTCAGAGAATTGGGGTGTAATTGAGTTAATGAATGCATTCTGTCGCATCTCTGATTGAGCGTGTGTCACTTCGCCTCTTCCTTTGGCCTTAGCGTTCGATTCTGCATTCTCCTCCACCTGACATTGAATCTGAAAGGAGCAGTTCATGCAAGGATTAAAATGTTCATTATTTACACTCTCGAATGACATTCCTTTTACCAGCATGACTTTGTGGTTTTGTGCAACGGAATAAATGGATTTTTCAACCTATTTTCTGGTCTGGAATTGAAAAGGTTTTTTTTTTTTTTTTTTAAAGACAAACTGTTTTTGAAGTTAAAAGTAAATGCATTTCTCTCCTGTCGTGTTTTTTTCTACTAAATGTTGGTCTGGACTGTATGGGCAGAAAAAAAAAGTGTATTATCCTTTAGATTTCTACTAAAATTAAACGTAGCAATCATCATCCCTTACTAATGGTATTTTTAGATCCAGTTCTAAACAGGTACTTGTCTTTTTCTTACAATCTTACAATGTTGTATGGTGCACAAGATCTTTGTTTGCTTATTTCAGAGCAACGCAACCCATGCTAAATAAATATACTGTCTGGCCAAAAAAGTCACTACCAAAAAGAAGGTTGCACACTTTTGTTGGAATGCAATTTAATTAATTTCATATACCAGTCAGAAACTAAGTTTTTTTTTTGCACTGGCCTTTCTTAAGAGTTAATGGTTTTACATGGTGGTCAACAGTAAAAATCACGATCACCAGATTATTTGGTTTCATAGCTTAGCGATCAAAAAAGTTGTTATAATGAAAGTCAATGGGGCACAATTGATAAATGAGGGAGAACAATTTAAAATTTGGTGCTACACAAAAAAATCCATCAATGCCAATGTTTTTAGTAATGTTTGACACGTCCAAGGTTTTTAAAAATCCGGGCCACAATACTTTTTTTATACTGAAAATACATTTTTTTTTGTGTGTGTGTGGGTGTGTTTGGTTGTTTGTTTTTTGAGAAATCAGTGACATTATGTTTTTTTTTTTTTATTATTAAATAGTTTTGATTAGAACTAAAATAGATTTATGCAAAATTAAAATGGAAAAATTTTGATTTGCATTTAGTGCCTGTTTTTAGCCAAGAAGATAAAGAAAGGTTAGTGAATTTGAACCCAAATGTAGTAGTTTCAGCAATTTTCTTAGATTTTATTTTTTGCCAATGATTTGGCCTTTCTCTTACAGACAAACATCTTTTCCCCAACGGCGGAATGTGTTTTTCGACATGGTTTTTATGAAATGAAATGCGACTCATTGCACAAGTTGGGGTTAAATAACTTAAACCCCAACTTAAAATCTCCCAATTTTTGTCAGTGAGTCTCGATTGTAAAAGAAACTAGAATTTAGTGTTTTTTGCTAAGTGATTTTTTTTAAATTAGTACAATTACTTGAATTCAGCAAATATAAACAAAATTAAAACTACAACAATTTCTCATTTTGAGTGCATTAAAATGAAAATAGAGGCCTTTTGCACAATGTTATGTGAAAACAAGAATGTGGGTTCAAATTTTAATCTTCAGAATAAAAAAATAAAAACTATTCTGATCTACAAGATCAAAGAAAAATCTAAACATTGTAAATGGAAAATAAAAACATTGTAATACAGCAGAGAAATTGTCTTTTTTTTCGTAACAAGAGGAAACTAAGTTTTAGAACTGGTTTGTCCTTCGAGGTCTAATCTAAACTATTGCTTTTTTTCTCCTACAGATCGGTCAGTGGCATTCAGAGCATGGATTATCTATGGAAAGGAAGCTTCCGTCGTTAAACTTAACAGACACACTGTTCAACACAACTCTCACCATAACAACCATCCTGGTAAGTCCTGACTTCCACTTTGATCTTCGCATTTACATTTAGATCCACATAGATTTAAAGACTTTCTGGAGGAAACTCTGAACACCTGAGAGGTTCAAAATAAAGACTCTTCTCTTCAGAGATTAGTGGAAAATAACAAGTACATGCGTGTTAGCATCTACTGAAGCAGCAACCATCAATTGAAGATGTAATCCGTCAGGCTGTTATCTGGGGCACTTTTCTCATCTTCTCTCTCGTGCACTGTATAGTGAGAAGAAACAAGAAAGAGGCTCTCGGCAGGCTTAGGCCAGATGTCACATATCTGGCTGGGTCATCACTCACTTGAAAAGAGAGAGGAATAAAGAGATAGAATGAGAGGACCAAGCAAGAAGTGTTGTAGCCACTTTTTGATTTTATGGAGCCTTATGCAATAGAAAGGTAAAAAATAAAAATTAATTACTATTACAATGGTGTTACAAATGGCGTGAACTGGATTTTTGTGCTTAAAGCTATTAAACTTAGGGTTTTGCCATTTATTATGAAATCCATGACATTGTTTCTTATTCTTTATTTAAATACGCTCGAAACTTTAGTATTTGTTTTGACTGTTATAGTTTTAGTTTTATCTTTTTAGTTTAGTTATTTGGGGTTTTTTAATCAGTTTTAGTGTTATGTTTTGTTTGCATACTTTGTATTTTTTGTCAGATGCAAGATTTAAAAAGATCTGCAAATATTGTGTTTACATTTTTTAACTAATAAGATAAAAAAACAATATTTTAAATGGTTAACACATGAAAGATTTGGTTAATTCTATATTGCTCCAACAATCTTCAAAGCGAGTGAGCTTCCTGTGACTAGTGCAGATTATATTTAAAGGTATCTCTAACCCTATAGTATTAATTCATCATCCTTTATCCTCTTAAGCCCTGAGGCCTATTTTCCGAAAATCCTATACTTTTACTTTTTAAGGCATTTCTCAGCTTTTACAAGGTCTAAACTGGAAATCTTGGTATCAAAATGAAGATGGGTTCTTGGGGAGTGGTGTGGATGAGTTAATTTGACAGTCAAGAATACTGGGTAAGAGTAATTGATGTTGGAATGGCCAAAAAATGAACTCCGCCTAAAAAA